TTTTCTCTGTTCAAATGCTCCAACAATCAATGAAATATGAGAGTAGCACTTGAGTTTTATAATTACTCTTTCACCTTCTCACTAATTAACCACCATTCATTTAGTTGTTTTTTTTAATATAGAATTTTATTCCCTATAACTTTTCGTAATTTTTTAAACTTTCCCATGTACTAAGGGTGAGAGATGGGTTGAGGATGAGAAAGGAGAAATAGGAGTAAAAAACAAAATTTGCAAATTTCTTGTTTTGAACCAGAACAGAATTAAAATATTCATATGTTATTGACTAATTTAATTCAAACCTTTTGGAGAAAAAACATCAACAAAGGTGAAAGATGAGAGATATAATTGTGTAAGCACTCAACTCAACCCTTCGTGAGAAGAGTGATTAAGGAACATGGTCCCCTCGGTTAGATATTATTGAATGTAATGGTTATAATTATTGTCACGTGTTGTTATTATTTTATAATCATTTAATAAATAAATTAATAATTTTTTTTATTTTAATAACTATCCATAAAAAAAATAATCACTCTAAATAAAAAAAAATAAATTTATATTTTACTTATTTATATAAATTTATTATTAAATGGTAATCTCACACGACTCCGACGACAGTGTCACCTTTACACCCGCTCCGCACCATTTTCACCATCCCATCGTGCTTTTGGGAGGAGACTTTATAATGATTGCGCACGCGTTGTTTTCGCAGAACGTGGCCGCGAGATGCTCAGAGAATTCCAGGCACCGTGAGGCCAAATGGTATCATTGAGCAACTTTTGGGGTACAACGGTTGCCCAATTTTAGTACTATTTTTCTTTTTGGTTAATTATTAGAAATATTTGGATTAGTTTATATATATTTTAATTAATTTCTTTTTCGATTTAATCAAAAATAAATCATCTCTTTTAAAATTAAAGAATTCATAAAAAATAAATCTATCATGACATAACCTTAAAGAGTTATCAATATTAAAACTCAAGACGTCTGAATCTTTTTGATTATGTCACATCAAACAAAATTAAAATAGTAATGTTACATAGACTTAAAAGATAATATTAAAAATCAAACTTAATAATTACAACTATTGATTTTATTGTAGGTCCCAGCAGTTATTGAGACCCACTACCTACTCAATGGTTGAAATTATCAAATTTAAATTTTAAGTCTACTTTTTGAATCCTTCCAACATTACTCAAATTAAAGAAATAGTGTCCACAACATTATTCTTTTTGTGTACCTTCTCAAATGATCCGGATTATGGAGCCCCTTAAAAGATGATGATTGTTACTGTTTCAAGGGTTATGTTGGTGGTGCATATTAGAACAACCTGTAATATTATCCGTTTTGAATTAATTGCATGATTTTAAAATATTTTAGATACAATTTAGAACGATGTTTACATGTAATCCAACAACCTTTCTTTCTAAATGATAGAAAAATACATAGAAACATGTATCTCAATCTCACTTCATTGATTTTGTCCTCGACTTTAAGAGTCTTTTATAATACTGATTAAGTGTCATGAACTTTTGCTTTCGGCAATAGTCACTTCAAGCCTGAGGTCCCCATAGTTGGTTGTGCGGTCGAGATTCACGTTTCTCCTTAAGAGCCATTATAAAATAACCTAATAAACTTTTTTTTTAAAAAAGAGGACCCATTATATTAATACGTAGCACTTTCTTATGAGGCCAAAAAAAAAAAAGAAGTCATTTTCTTATTAATTTATAAGGATGGTCAAATGTTTTGACTCTTGACTACTGATTACAAATGCTTCTGCTTTGTTTTTTCTTCTGGTATGGGGAGTGGGTGGCTTTGGGCCAGGGGCTGGGAGAATTCAAACCCAAGGTTACGACGCAGAGGATTCGCCATAGACCACTTAAGCGCTCTGTGTGTTTGTGTGTGGGTGAGAGAGAGAGAGAGAGGGGGGGGGGGTGGAGGCTGGGAAAATCTAAACGAAATTATTGGCCAAAAGCAAAATTCCAAGAATTTACAAGACAAATATAAAATATAGTACTTGATTAAGAGACCGACAAAAAAAAAAAAATTCAATCTCATAACTCTAAAATTTATTACTTCAACGAGTATATTTTACAATTTTTGTGGATTATTTTAAAACTAAAAAATTTATCACTTTTATAAATAATTTACCATACTTATGAATATTTTTACTATTGTTGTATTTTATCACTGTTGTGCTAATTATTTTTATCATTTTTGTTCGATACAAAAAAAATTATCACTTGTATAAATAATTTATTACATTTGTAAATATTTTTATCACTATTATAATAATTATTTTTATCATAACAATAATAAAAATATCTATAATAATAATAAAAGAATTTATAAATGTGATATAGTACTCTTGTTTTTTTCGGACTAGAAGAGTTTTGACCTTGACCTCTATTCCAATCCGGTAACGATCTCGTAGCCTTATCTTCTATCCGGTGTCAAAAGAGTGGTTTAGTTTAGAGTCATCAAAAAGCCACCTGTCAAAAAAGTTTTATCCACACTCTTTCTTGTAAATTTGACTATGACACCGAAAGAAAAAAATTTCCGCATCATTCCGCTATTTATAATATCTATAGTCATTCTTATCTTATTTATTAAAATAATAAAAATTAAAAATACAATAACAAATTTATTTTTTTCGCTACCATAGTCAACTACTTGTCATACTGTACCCAAAACATCATTGGTAATAACTACTTCCTACATTATTTTTCGGTCCCCCTCCAACTACTTAAGAACGTAGGAATAACTTTTGTCCTTCTTGTCTTGTCACCGATCCATCTAGTCTTACTAGCACTTTTAACCATAGTCAATTTAAAGCAGAAACCACCGCTCTTCGACAAGTTTCCAAAAACACCATTAATACCATTCTGCCTAATAACCACCTCCTACATCTTTTCCGGACACAGAAAAAACTCAGACATTACTCACAACCGATGGGCATTTGTGTGTGTATGTAGATGTAATGTGATCCATGTGTGTATGCAGGCGTGTGTCAGTATGTGTGTGTGTGTACAGACATTGTAGACACTTAGCTTATTAGTTCTGCATTAAGGTGCATAACATCTTAAGACTCTGCATATATGCGAAGTAACTGCATCAAGCAGCATCCTGAAGACCTCCAACCAAATTAGAGAAGGTATGAAATTGGATACAAATAGCTGGAAAGAAGCTAACACAGCTGGAAACTATATTCTTCAAACAAATTATGATACGTAAAGCAATCATCTAATTATTATATTAAAAGCCACTCTATAAACATAAGATTTAATCAAAACAGACGTGTGTATGACGCAATAGGATACGAAAATCATCCATCAATATCCAAATATTTGCAAGAAAAGATGATTATCCCCTGGCCTGCCCTTCGAGGCATGTGTTGGGAGACTGAGAGCAATTATGTCTCTCGGATGCGACCCATTACAATTGACATATGCTTTCCAATCTCACATACTTTGCATCATGAGCAAATAAAACACTGCCCCATGGGGGACCATGACAGCATATGGGTTTATAAAATGTACAACATAAATAAGCAATGGATGCAATGACTTGAACATCAGGATAAAGAACATAATGAACCAAGAGCAAGAGAAAGAGGAAAAAATATGTAACAAACATGGAATTCAATACACTTATGATAATAATAGCGAAACAACAGTGGCTGCAATGCAATAACCAACATATCTAGTATCCAAGTGGTTTTCTACTTTTCTTTCTGTTCACTTGGAATAGAGTATCCATTTCCCTCCCTTTCATGCTTTAGGATTGGATCTCCTACTTATTTATTGTTGACAATTATGGATGTACCCGAATGCAGCTTGCAATGTGATCAGAGCACTGAAATTACAGAGTTTTCACTCATTTAGCAGCAGAAATGCTTGATTGCAGCTGTTAGGTATGAGAGGGATTTGAGAGGAAATACAATGGACCTAACACCCTAGTAGATCTCCTGCTAACCTGCCATAGATTCGAGCACCACTAGGGCCAGTTTGGGTTTTGGGAATTGTGAGAAGCCCAAACCAAGGAGTGGAATTGGAAATAATGACTCATGCAATCAGGAAAAAAAAAAAGGAAAGAAAAAGAGAGGCAAATGGAGGAAAAAAAACTGAAGCTTCCACAATAATCTATTTTCTGTGAAAGAAGCATCAGGGCTAAAACATGAAGATCTTTCCCTGTTTCAGCACATAATAATCAGGATAAGAACCAATAAAAGTTTCAAAATATACTGATACTAAATCGAAGTTTAAGCACCTTAAGTTTTCACACAAAAATTTTACAAGGCTACCATTTCCAAAATCTTCTTTTTTTTTTTTCTCCTAGACAGAGAGAAGGCCATTACTTGGTGTGGTCCTGCTTAAGGGTGCCCTAGACATTGGCATATTTTGGCATGAAGTGACCACTTTCAGACTCACATTCACAACCTAGTTTTGAAGTCCAAGCATTTACCACTGCACCAAGCAATGATCCATTTTATTTTTCTTAGGAGAAGCAACTTTTATACCTGGTTGAGCTACCGATTTACACCACCGACTCAACCATTCGTTAACGAGTCAAGCATCTGACTAACCCAACCAAAGACACATAAGAAATATGTTCAAATCATCTGGCGTGTAAAGCTTCTTCTTTTAAATGAGCAGATGACTTGGCACTTCTCTAAGAAACATGCGAAGCTTGTATGAGAATGAACATGCAAATATGAGGTCTACTGAGGAAAAAATATAAACAAAACACTATGGCAGAAATTTTGCCTATTCAACCAGAAAATCTAACCCACAATTTAATCAGTATGTTGTTTATACTTCATCATCAAGTCCATTAAGTATGTTCGCGGTTGCTTTATGTATTTTCTTAGACTCTTATTCAATATTGTGCGCAGACACATCTGGTCTCTCAAACGTAAAGACCAAAAACACCTCAACTGATTTTCAATAATCCTTCAATAAAGTAATATTTTCAAGCAAAACAGAGAAAAATTTAACAGTTTGCTTACCTTTAACTTGGATCAACAGTGTCAAGTTTACATGTGAAAGGAACAACTTGTCTGACAAATCATTAAAGGTTTTGCATATGGGGTTTACATGTTAATGGAATTTTCTGACAAATTGTCAACGCTTTTGCATATTGGTCATGAAGTTTAAAGAACCATACCATCGATTCTGATCGGTGGCTACCAAGTGTCCTTGTCAAGGAAGACAAGCACTCTTAAGTTCTTAAAAATTCTAACAGGATCCCCGACGCCAAAAGTGAGCAGTAATCCTGTTGGTAAAATTTCAGGGCGCACTAATATGAATGGCAGTGGACTTTCACATGGACAAAGGTAACAATAATCTTCTTTCCCTCTTCCTTGCATGAGCCTGCCTAGAGATTCTCAAGCGTATTGGAAGAAAGATACCGAGGCAAATAATGGCGAACGAAAGCCAGAAATGCCTGAAGTAAAGTGTCACATATGATGATATAACAAGCACACTAAACAGTACGGCCCACAATATAGCCACAGTAACATCAGCCCTGCACAAGGTTAACAGAATCTTTACATTTAACAGAACCAATAAATAAAAAGCTCTTCATTGTACTAAAGCACATTGTTGAGGTGACATAAACAAGCGAAGATACAAATAACCATGAGGTTTCCTGAACCCAATGGAAGAAGAAAAAAAATGAGAATGGATCCTTAGAGACAGGTTAATCTAAATCATTCAAGAAAGCTTAGTTGGTCACTAATGTCCACCAGAAAGTAGCATTTTGCAAATATTGAATTCATAACAGCATTACAACAGATTCTAGTAAATATACAGTACACCAAAACTTGACTTTTCTGTTGAAGAAGACAATGTGTGCAGAGGAAGGCTTCATCAAGACATAGTGGATGTTTAGCTGTCAACTCCCAGAAGAAAAAAAAAAATATTACCAAAGTAAAACATTAGAATTTTTAAAGCAAGAACCATACATTCAAGCATGGCAGATCCTAAGGCTATAAAACAAGGAAAGTAACTTCAGCTAGACTCTGGAATAGAACTTATTTTACCCATCTGGGCTGACTAGATATGGTTAATGAGTCAACCATGCAAGCTCAAGCTTGAAGTTTCAGCTCCTTGGGAGGAAGAGCTGATCTTGAACAGGCATGTGTTTGACTTGTAAGGTTGACAAGCTTTTTGATTACAAACTTACATTCCCACACCTCCCACCACCTACTATAGAGCTACAGACCAAGTAGAAGAAACCAAGAGAAATGAAAAATAACAGTATAATGAACTCATCAAACATGGATTAAAGAAAAAAAATTCAACAATTTCATCAAAAGGTTGATCTAATTACAACCACGCTTAAGCCATGACTGATGCAATACATAAGAATCTCAAGAAAGGGTAAATTCAACCAAGCAAGAAGTCTTGGAAGCAGCTTCTTCTCAAGATGGAGCCAAATTGTGAATATTTTTTATCAACTTTTCATTCTGGTAGAGTCCCTTTAGTGTTAATTGTTAATCTAGGGGTTAGTAGGATGATGATCTGTTTTATTATGTTTTCTTTCTTTTGAGAGTCAAGGGCAACTCTGTAATCCCCGGAGTTTCTAAGCAGGGGTTATCGCAGTTACCCATGGTCTTATTTTGTCCACAGATGTCTTACACTCTTACTGGATCTTTGTTCTAGTGTATGGTAGGTTTATATAAGTTTTCTAGTAAACACTAAATAGTTTTCACATAGGAAGTCTACTGCCTCAAAATTGGAGTAATATGAGCTTATATAAAGCCCTATAAGTTCAGTTCAGAGACGTTTTGGTTTTTCAAGTGATATAACCCGAACCCTTATGAACGATGCCTTTAGTAGCCATTCATAGTTTTTTTTTCTTCTTTCTTCTGTTATTTGCAACCAATTACCTACAAACAGATCTCCTCAAACATTTTCCAATCCTGAAACCCTAAATCCACAAGATCAATACACCAACCCCTCAAACCATAGACCACACTTTCACATAACCAAGCCCTTATAGCTAATACTGAAATAAAAACAAACAGGCCCTGCAACTAACCTTAAACAACAACTACTTAGCTTGGCTAGGCTTGCTCTCGCTCCAACCATATTCCATCGAGATTGGCAAAGCAATACCAATTGTAAGAGCATCTCCAACAACAAAAGCTATTTTAGCTACTCAAAAAGTAATATTTTCTATTTTAGCTACTCATTTTTTCAATACACCCTCCAACAGATTTTCTATATTTTTAACTATTCCTTTTAAATATTATTTCTCATTCCTTTTGTATTATTTTTTTTGGAGATAGTGAAATGGAGAAAGAGAGAGAATGGAAGAAAGGCAAGGAAGAGGGAGAAAAAATTATAAAAAATGTTTACATATCGCTACAATGATACTCTAAATATAGAGTATCACTGTAACAAAATGTTATTTTAGATGTTTTGAAGACTGGTGGAATGGAATTTTTGGGCTAAATAGCTAAAATTTGATGATTTTGTGTGTTTTAGATCATGCTCAAGGTAATCAAGCTAACAAAAGTCCTAGAAAACTTCAAAGTGCCATTACATATTATGCTCCAAGATTGAGCTTTAGCGTTAAATGAGATAGCATTTTAATGAGGATTGCACACCAAGAAACTTTAAAGATAGTATGTATCCAAAAAATCGGATGTCAATACTTCTCAAGCTAACATTTGCCAAACCATACAGTCATCCACAATATCCATAAACCTACACAAACTACAACAGCATTGTTTATTTTGCAAGTACTAATTCCAACAAAACAAAATGAAATAAGAATTAAACATTAAATCTCTTTTGTAGAATTCAGAATTGTATTTAGCAAATGCGACAAGCCTCTAAACACCTATTACCCCAGTGATAATCTAAATATATGTTCCTGTGGCTGTAGGCAGACAAATTACTTCGAAAATTCACCAAATAGGACTTGGATTAAGATAGTTCAAATGATTTAACGCAATTACAAATTCAAAATCAAGAAACAAGAATGTCACAAAACTTCGGTATCTAACCATGCAAGCCACGAGACACTATGCTATGTCTTCATAAAAATTCAGATGATCATTGCGGACAGAGAGAGAAAGAGATAGATACCAGGTTGTTATCACAGGTTTGGGAGAAAAGATAGTGAGAGCAGGGCACTTGTGCTGAGACCGGATCTGATAATCTCTGAGTTGCTCAACGAGTTTAGATCGTGTTATCATATTACCTCCGACCGGAGATATGAGTCTCCGACCTAGAAAGAGAATTGAGACTGCCCGAATTTTCCCGAGAAAATCAAAATTAGCCTTGATTAATAGCAAATCAATGTACAACCAACAGAATTTCCTTCAATCGATCTCGAATTGAAACGAAACCACATGTAAGCATAATTTCTGGTCTTTGTCGGGTTGTTCGGCGACTGAGATCAGAGACCCGACGAGCTTTCTCTTGGCGGGCCGAGGATGAAGACCACAGACAACAAGACAAGGCCAAACAGTGAAATTGGTTAGCTTTTTTATTTTCCCTATTCTTTTCTTTCGCACGCAAATTTCAGTTGCCAAAATGGGTGGGTTATTCTCACCTTTTAATTTTGGGAAAATTTCAGCCACGCTGCACCTAGTTTATTATATTTTCAAAGACATCTTTTTTAATTTATATTTAAATATCACTAACATTTCTTATTATTAAACTATAATTTCTAACAAAAAAAATTCATCTGAAATATAAAAAATGTCCCTATATAAACCTTAAGTAATTTTTTTATATAAAATTTTATTAAAATTCGAGCCAATTAATATTTATTTTTTTACATATTAAAATTTGAACCAATTAAAATTCGATTGAAACTGATTAAATTTTATTTTTTTTAATGTATTAAAATTCGAGCTTATTAAAATTTATTTTTTACGTATTAAAATTTGAGTCGATTTGAACTATACCCGAGTTATTAGCACAGATTAAAATACGATTTCGAGTCAATTAAAATTTATATTTTTTTACTTATTAAAATTTGTATCAATTAAAATTCGGTTTATTAAAATTTATATTTTTTTATGTATTAAAATTTGGGCTGATTAAAATTCAATGCGAGTAAATTAAAGTTTGATTTGAGTCGATTAAAAATAATTTTTAATTGGCTCACATAAAAATTTAATTAGCCCAAATTTTAATACGTAAAAAATTTAATTTTTAATCGGATCAAATTTTAATTAGGTTGAATCGAATTTTAATCGGTCCAAATTTTAATACGTAAAAATAAATTAGAAAATAGAGGGGTCTCATTGAAAATATGTTTATCTAGAGGGGGTGTAAATAAAATTTGTCCTCAAATATATCATAAAAAATTTAATAAAATTATATTATAATTAATATTTTTAATCTGACAGAGTGTCAATGAAGATTCAAAAAATAGAAGACATATCCTTAAAGATATGATAAACTAGATAGGGTGTGGTTAAAATTTTTCCTTTAATTTTTATATTTTCACCTCACATAAATTTCTATTTTTTTTTTAAGTTTAACAATCGGCGTGTCTAGTCTTGTTTATTTCGACTAATCCCTTCTTTAGTCAAGTCAAAGGCAGTTCATTTATGTCGAAACTAAGATATTAACGAGGGACATAACTCAATTCCAAGAAGTTGTCAAAATTCAAATTTAAAACGCAATACTCAAATTTAAAACATGTGATTTTACAGTTCGTTTCTATTACTACTTGAGATACTCTTTAAAAAAAAATCCATTTCATCTATATGTATCACATTAGTTACTAAACTTAACTCATTTATTCACATCTATTTAAAACTAAACTCATCTCATTATTCGGTAAAATTTATAATTTAAAATAAGAGAATAAAATGGGATGAAAAATAATGTTTAAAGGATGAGAATAATCTCAACCTTCCAAAATATATTGAAAAATAAAGTGCCCCAAGTTTTTTTTTTCTTTCTATGATGCTTGCAGACGGTGTTTGTGTGTGATTATAGAAGAATGGGATATAAAAGAAAGAGACAAAAATATAATATAAATTTTTTAAAAAAGCCTAATAAATATTATAGGTGATTAAGAGAGGTACTATACAGATTTTATAATCAGGACACCAAATTCCTGCTCTTGATTAATTTAAGAGTGTTTTTGGAGGCTGGTAATTAGGGCCCATAAGATTCTAATAAAAAAAAAGCGTTCGCTAAATTTGTTTTTGAATTAGGTGTCTATTGAAAAATCCAAACAATGGTCATAACTAACGTCCTTTAAAATTATAAAAAATGACGACAACGTCATTACGTAATTAAAACATCTATTTTAAAAACATACGTCATCATAATATATACTTTTCTCTAAAAACACAAATCATCAGACAAGTACACTACAAGAATATGGTTACATTTAGCGCATCACTACAACAAATATATTGAGATGAGACATCTGAACAGACGTCTCTTTGATTAACTCTGCAATTAACATTACAATGAACAGACATTTAAACATTTCCATCGATCCCATAGAAAATACCTCTATAAATAACTCATCAAAAATCAGACCAAAAACACAAAAACAATGGATCAATTAAGGTAACAAAGAACACAGAGTAACGTACAAGTGCATACAGATTTCCTGGATGACACACAACAAGCAAGATTGCATGCAAGCCGATGTCAACCGTCTCGAATTCCAACTTCACATGTCCAACAAACAACTTGGAAGATAATGGCAAAAAAAAAAATCAATAGAAGGCTGCAAAAGGAGATTAAGAAGGGCAAAAAGATTGAGACAGACTTGAAGGATCTCAAAAAATAATCTTTTGTTGTGTGTTTTTTTATGTGAAAATTGGGGGTGAGTCTCCTTAAATGTACTTATTTAGAGATAAATCCGGTAAGAAAACTTATAAGGGGTTAAGTCCACTTTTAAAATTATATATACTGACTTAAGTCCACTTTTTTTTTTAATCTCAAAAATACTCCTAACAGTGTTAATCTTGGACAATTATGGAAAATTATAGGTTAGATATTTTGAGATATATATGGTAACGATTATATTCAATTTTTTATGGAATATAATATATCATATTTGGCTGTATGATTTACGTTAAAATTAATAGACTATTATCTCAAATTCAGTTCAAAATGTTACATTAACAGATTCAAATTCAAATTTCAATTTCTGAAACTCATGAACTTTGTGGTCTATTACGTCAAATTTCTTTCTCACCGGAAATTCGAGTTACTATTTTTTTCCAGGAAGCCGACGGTGTCATTCTTATTCACATGATACTACTATATCATTTTTGTTTGATAGGATTATCGAAGATGATACAAGCATCAATTGGGAGTTAGAATTTTGTTGTGATTCCAGGTTAAATTATTGGTTCTTTATTTCCTGAGATATGTTCATTGTAATTGGCTGATTTACATAATATGATTAATTATTATTTGGTGAGGTATTTTTTCATTGTAATTTGCTGATTTACATAATATGAATTCCAGTGCTGTTTTGGATTTTTTTGCGTAAATTGATATTCATTCGCTAGAAATTCTATTTTACTTACCGGAAATTCGTATTGCAACCTTTTTCACCGGAGTTTTTTTATTTTTTTTATTTTTATTAGGTACTAAGTTTATTTTTCATGTTACTGTTCGTGATTTTATTGGAATTATAATTGCTTATTTTTCATTTTTTTTTCCTTTGTTATTGGTGAAATACAATGTAAATTTCTAGTATTCGTATCACGATATTCCTTATCGGGTTTTTTTTTTAAATTAAGTTCTAGATTTTTTTTTATCATGTTACTGGTAGTGATTTAATGGAATTAGAATTGGTTATGTTTGTTTTTCTATATTTTCTCATTCATTTTTGTTTTATTGGTTATAACAGATGGATGATAACATATTGGTTTGTTGCAAGTATTCTTCTGAGACTGTTGTGCTAAAAATTTTAATACATTCCACAATTGATGATGTGTTATATGGTGTTTATGACAATTGGAATGGTTTGAGTGTTAATTGTGTTGTCCTGTCGTATGCTATTCATGGACATCCGATTTGTGCTTTGCAAAATGATCATGATGTGAGAAACATGTTTCTAATTGCAAGATCCGTTCAGTTGAATTTTGTTGAAGTTATAGTTGTTGTTAAAGGGAATGTTGTTCGTGATTTTGAGGGTGGGGCAGTTGTGAAAAGTTCTGAATTAACTGTTGACCCTATTGGTCGCGAGGATAATCTTCTCCCTCATTTTTGTTCTCACAATGAGAAGGTTTTGTTGACTAATGGATGGTCCAATGGAATAGTAGAGGTGGGGCAAAAGTTTGAGGGAGGAGTATCTGATTTTTGAAATGTGTTATGCAAATATGCAATCAAGGTTGGTTTTTAGTTTAATTATGTGAAGAATGAAAAGACAAGGGTAAAAGCTGAATGTGTAATGAAATATTCTGTTGGGTGTAAATGGTTTGTTGTTGTTACACTCTAACGGATAAATAGATGATTTTACATTAAGAAGTTAAACAATGAGCACACATGTAGTGTGGCTGCACGGACGACAAAGAGCAAAAGATTGACTTCTAATTTGGTTGGAGGTCTTATTGTTAACACTGTCAGACAAAAACTTGATACACGACCAGTTGACGTGAAAAGTATGTTTCATACAGATTATGGTTTGACCATATCGTATGATCAAGCTTGAATGGGTGTTAAAAAAGTAAGGGGTATGCTGTTTGGGAATCATTCATTGTCATACCAACAATTACGGTGGTATGTACAGGCTGCAAATGAAAGCAATCCAGGTAGTCATTTTGTGTTAGAAGGTGATTTGGACACGCAACGTTTTAGTAGGTTGTTCATATCATTTAAGGCATGTATACATGGATTTCACTACTGTCGACCCATATTGTTCATTGATTGTACATTTTTAAAGGGAATGTATAAAGACATTATTTTGTCTGCAACTGCAAAAGATGGCAACTAAGGAAAAATTTTTTTTTTTTTATTTTGGTATTACTGATTTTATTTTAATGTTACATTTTAATTTTTGTATATATGTTACTGTTTACTTATGTTATTGTTTGTGTTGCTATATGTACTGTAGGTTTGTTCCCCTTGACTTTTGTTGTTGTTGATTCGGAGAATGAGTGTAATTAGCGTTGGTTTTTAGAACAATTAGCTGAGATTGTTAATAATACTAGGGATCTTACCATTATGTCCGATCGCAATGTTGGCTTGATGGAAACAATGT